CCCTCTGAATCCTGGAAACCTTATCTGGACATAACCTTTAAGACAACCAAGAGTTAAACACTTGCATTTTTAACACAGTAAATAACATGCTGTTCAGAATGTTTTCTCAACAACATATTTTGTATTCCTGCTGCATGGTTACAGGACACATTGACCTGATTCAGAATGATGACAATGCATAAATTTGCTCCCCCCACCCCCCAATTTTTCACTCTAGATCTAAAATGTATAGCTGGAATGTAACAAGTATCTAACTGGAAGTTTTCCAGTCAAGCTTATATCCCAGAAACGTTTGTAGCACCCATAGAAACCTGGTTTGCTTCTGCTGCTGGCATCTCTTCCCCCCTCTCTGACTTCCTATTGCCTTTTTTCAGTAGCCTTCAGCTTTCATCCATTTATTCAGTGATTGGTCGAAGTTCAGCAGCACTGAAAAAGCAGACCTATGACTGATGTCTCATTAATGTTTCAGCTGTCACAGCAACCCTGCAGCCATGTGATTGTTATCTCGGCACGCAGGTGCCTGGCTTGCGATTATAACCTCACAGGGAGCTGCTGCGGTCACATTATTATGATTTGCAGTTTTCTTCTGATGGCTTCCCACCAGCAACCGCAATTGGGAAGCCAGCAGGGAAGGTTGCAAATTGCTCTTAGTACAGGGGTCCCCAACCTCTGGTCTGTGGACTGGCACTGGTCCTTGGCATGCCAGCAACTGGGCCACGCAAACAAGCTAATCCTCATCCGTGGGATGCAGGCAACGTGTGAAACCACGCACCCCTCCAGTCCACGGAAAAACCTCTCTTCACAGAACCGGTCCCTGTGCCTGAAAGGTTGGAGGCCACTGCTCTAGTAAGTCGCTCCTGTTTTTTCTCCATCCGCAGCACAATAGCATTCATTTATTCTTTGATCTACAACCCAAATAGAATGGTAGCTCGGTACTCATCGGTAATTGGTTCTGGGAGGTGCAATGAATACAAAAAATGATGAGTATCGAACAATTTTTTCCCCATAAGGAATAATAGTAGTGAGTCACAAGGTAGCCGACACCGTGTTCTAGCTTGTCCCAAACAAACTGCGATGACCCAGGGCGTGGCACAAAGGTAGCACAGTCAAATCAGCAATAAGAGTCCCTTTATTATATCCAACTTTGCCTCCAATGTCCAGGTTACCTTCGGCTGGAGAAAAACTCTCCCAGGATCAGTCTTTAACTGTAGAAAATTCAGTCCAAAACAAGATACATACAAACTGTAACTAAAAATCCAAACAAACCAAGCTGAAGTAATTAGCTTGATAGGGATAGATAAGCCACAATGATACAAGATAAATTCATGCTTGCTCCCAACAGCTTGCTGCGTGCAGCTTCCTTTTTTATACACTGTGTTCCCAGCTGCAGCTAATGAAGGGAATCAGGGCCCTTTCCTCCCCCGTAAGCCATGCAACTCACGTTGCTCCCTTCTCCGTTCCTCCCTGCATGCCCTAGGATGAAGAGAGAGAGGGCCTGGGTCTTGCTCTGAATTCCCTCTCCCTTGTTCTACCTCTTCCCTGCTCTGCCCAGCCAGACTTTACCCTTCCACAGTTTCTTCCACAGCCAATGGAGCCACACTCACTCACTGTCAGTTGTTCGGCTTCCCCCTCAGAGTCAGATTCCGACAGGGGCATGACACAAACGATGAATCCCAGGACAAAATTTTCATGTCAAAATGCATCGAGTACCAAACTCAAATGAGTTTCAAAGCAATTGAGTACCAAGGTACCACTGGATAAGGAATAGGCCTGTCTAAATCCAAACCCAAAATGATTTTTCTTTCAGTAATAATCTTGGTGGAAGTCTCCAAATGGAGGCTGGGTGGTCATTTGTCAATTCCTCCATTGAAAAGGGGGGTGGACTAGATGAAATCAAATATCTTTCCCAATGTTTCTAAACGTTTCTATGATGGAAGTGTTTTTCTATGCAGGCACAGACCTCCAGGAAGAACCCTGAAGAATTTGTCCAAACCTTCCGGTAAACCACCTTAACACTCTTGCCTTTATAACAAAGTGAAACTTGAGGTTGAGAATGGGGCAGTGTTTTGCTTGTGGCACTGTCATGATCAATGTACCCCCTAAAGACGCATGACTGCTACACACAAATATTGCAAAGCATGCAAGACTTCCCTGTCTCCTAAGTTAGCAGGGGGAAGCACCGTCAAACTAACACTCTCCAGTACCTGGAATGGGAAGGCTGGCAAAACTGGCTGTCAGAGCTTGGCGCACCATCTGGAGCTGTTGCTGCAACGCCATTGTCTGCCTCTCCTCCAGTGCAAGCTCCTGCTCTAGGCGCTCCTTGGCGCAGCTCATGCTCTCTGTGTGCTTCTGCAGGATGGCATTCTGCTCCTCGAACTCTGTGTTCATCTTACGCAGTCTCCGCAGCTCTGCTTCCCTGGCTGCTCCAGCAAAGAGAAAGGGAAAACAGAAGGACCAGAATTAAAAAGAAAAATGAAAAAAACACGGATCACAATCCTGCTTCTTCAACCTCTTGTTTCCAGTCCATGATAAAAATAGGCAATTGCTTGCTATAACCTTCTCCAATTTGACACCTTTCAGATGTGTTAAGTTACAGCTCTCAGAATTCCCAGACTTTGACCGTGCTGGTTGGGAATTATTAGAGGCACCAGAGAGAAATTAGTTTTCTGGACAGTCTGTTTGTCTTCCATAATGTCCTAGCAAAAAGGAGATTCAGCTCTAATAGACTTGAATGAATGTCGACAGTTGGGTTCATTTATGTAATTTGAACTCTGCACTGTTTGTCTTCTACTATAATTCCTAGAGAAATTATTCTGGAAAGTTTAGTATCTAATGAGAAATCACAATTGGGATACCAAGGAAAGATCTCCCAGGTGTTTTATGAAGAGAGCCAAAACAAAAAGTGAGCTGGTTCAGACATTGCACAAAGCCAACATGTTAGGAATGATAGTCACCTAACAGTTGGGTTGGCAATATATAAACCAGGATAGTCATTTAATACTGTTGTATCTTTAAGAGAATGCTGTAACTGTGATTGGCTGAGGTTCCTCCAACAGCCATAAGATGGAGCCAGAAACCTGGTTTGTCCTTTTTTTGCATTTCCTTTGCTTCCTCTTTGCCTTTTGCCTGATCATCATTCTGCTTGAATTGCTGTGAGTCTTGCAACTGTTCTCAAACTCTGTTTACTGGACTTTGTTTATGATACTGGTAAAGAAAAGGACTTCGTTTTTGGATTATTGTTTGGACTGATTGTTTTGAATAGTAACTGCTTTAACCGTGTATGATTTGGACTGTTTGTTGGACTTTGTTTACCCGTTTACTGGAAGTAAAACTTACATTTTACTATTCAGTGTATCTGTGTGCTGGTTGTGTGTTATTCATCACCATCCTCACTATGTTTCCCTAACGGGGAATACCTCAACACAACACATCATAAAGTCAAGGTGGTTTATTTTTTGACTTAGCATGCACTAGTAACAAATGTACTGTTGCTTTTATGTTTTAGCTCAGTTAGTGAACTGAACCAACTGTGATTTAATAAACTGTTGTTAACTGAAGAATAAAAACTGTTAATCTAGTCATTTGCTTTAAAACAGAGGTCTCATTCTCGCGGCCCGCGGGCCAATTGCGGCCCGCAGGACGATATTCTGTGCCCCCCCCCCCGATATGAAAGTATAATATTAGTGTATAATATAAATATAAAGTATAATATAAAGTATAATATTATGCGGCTCAGCCTCACCCAGACTCTGCCTCCAGCGGCCCCCAGGTAAATTGTGTTTGAGACCCCTGCTTTAGAATAAATGTTTATGGAGTTTCTCAGTCATCCAGGTCATGGTTGTCCCAAAGGTACTTTTTCAAGAGGCGGGATGGACTTTCTGATTTTTCCTTTCCTTTCCTTTCCTTTCCTTTCCTTTCCTTTCCTTTCCTTTCCTTTCCTTTCCTTTCCTTTTTCCTTTTGTTTCACTTCTCATCCAAGAAGCTACTTCAGCTCTGACAGGATGATGGGGAATGGAAGGATTTATAAAACAAAAACAGAAAGTCTTGTTGCCTCTTGAAAAAGAACCTTTGCTTTGAAATAGTTCTTGGAACTTGCCTCTTATGTCATTATCCATCTCTGGTATTACAGATTTCCACTCTTTCAGGGATTAGTACTGCAATCTCTCCTCCATCACAATTGAAGGCAAAAAAAAAGTTCAATTCCAGATTTTCTAGCCATTTTAAGCCAAGCTGGTCCTCCTTCCTCAAGTCAATTAACATTTTAATAAAGCCACAGCTTTTCTGGAAAATGTGGGCATCTTTAGTTTCAAACCTATCTTCATTGTGTGTTGAAACTTCTTTGTAAAATATCTCTGGTGTATATAAAGAAATAGGAAAGGCAGCATCCCCTTTTAATATACATACACACTCAGTCCAACAATTCATTCCCATCAGATCTGAGATTCGGGTTGCAGCCATTGCTTGTGGCTTTTGGAAGGCGGGGCAGTGGGAAGAAATGGTATGCCCCAGTTTCCATAAGGGAAACCACTTTATCTTAGTACTGACTGCATTTCAACAGCTTCATTTGTACCTTTGTTCTGGTCTAAGAATTCCTCTGTAAAAATAGGGACATCAAATGTTGAGAAGCCATCACTGCCACTTTCTCCAGTCTGCAAGAAAAAATAGATTAAAAAAGCTGGCCAAAAAGCATTAATAACTTAAAGATTACATATTTTTCTCAGCTTGGTGTGGAAACACTGAAAATGTGGGAACACACTATATTTCTATACAGCCTTAGAATATCCTTTCTTTTTTCAGAATTAGCAATGAAAGGTTGGATAATGCAATGGAGCTACACTATACATTAATGTGCCACAAGTCTGGTATCAACACTCCAGGACAAAGCTAACAGGTTAAAACAAAGTTTATATCTACGGTATGATTCTTCTTATAGTTGAGAAGTCACAGCAGTTAATAAACACAGCCACCATTAATTTAATGATCAAGAAACTAAAATGGTATTATCTAGGCAGTGCCAAATGGATTTTTCTTAGAAATAAACATATTGTTAATTGTTCCCCTAATTTTCAAATCAGTAGGAAGTTCTTTAAGACTGCAACAGAAAGCTTTCATGCAAATTCTAAATCTAATTTCTAGATCAAAAACTACATCGACATAACTGCTTTTCTGGAGTTTATCTGTAGTTTTTAGGCTCAGATTGTTTATGTTTGGGGGGGGGCGGTTTGCCTTTGACATTCAGATACAAATGTTTTGAAATTGTAGCTCGGTTGCAATAACTAAGGTGAGGGAGAAACCTAGAGAAAGTGTACTTTTTCAACTTTCAGTATGCTAGATAAAATGCAAAACAGATGGATGGTGAAATATCTTACCTCATTGACTAGTAACTAGAAAATAAACAGCACAATTTCTCATTTTCAGGTTTGATATTCGTAAAAGCAAAAATGAAAGCCATCCCTTATACCCTGACAAATTACCTTGTATCCATTGAGCAATGTATTCACAGTTCCAGCACCAGCATCCTCTAAAATAATATTTTTTAAAAAGAAAAAAATCAGTTAATCAAAGCAGGTATCGAGGAGCTGATAATGCAGTCACGATTTGAATTAAATCCCTCCTAGGGCTTTTAACTTCAAGCAGACAGGAGGGAAGGGAATATGCAAGGAAAATAAGAAACTGATATTCACTTGGATCAAGAATTCCTACATTCGGTGATGCCATAGTAAATAAGACTTCACAGCTGAAAATTTAACCAATCAGGAGTATCTGTAGGCAAAATTTGTTTACCCCTTTGGAGATCAGGAAAAAAAAATCCAAGAAGGAACAAATTGCAAGAGTAGGCAAGCTCATTTGAAATTAGGATTCTGTATGATGTGTACATCAAAGGAACGGCTAACTAAATCTGTCTATATGTTGTGAAATTAAAGAATTTTCATCATGTTATCAGACTGTTAGTTGGTGTTTATGGATGCATTCTGCCAGTCTTCTGCAAACCCCAAAATATAATGCGAGTGCCCCCGTGCATGCACCCCACCACCCACACATGCACCCCCCCACGCACATGTGCGCTGCCCCTCCTCGCCCATTTTTGGCTTCAGGTTGGTGCAGATGGCTTTACAGGCCCAAAACGCGGTGCAGGGTGGCCTCACACAGCGCTACGGCGCCCTGTTTTGGCTTCCAGGTTGGTGCAGGAGGCTTTCCATGGAGGGTTCTTTTTAAAGAGCAATTACAAAGAAGGCTGAGAAATTAGCTGGAGGGAAAGGGGGACAGCAAACTGCTAGAGAAGTCTGTAAGTCAGGGGTTCTTAATCATTTTTGTGCCATAGACCAGTGGCCCCCAACCTTCTGGGCACCAGGGACCGGTTCCACGGAAAGAGGTTTTTCTGCGGCCCGGAGGGGCCATGGTTTCACATGCTGCCTGCATCCCATGGATGGGGCTTCACTTGTTTGCATGGCCCAGTTTCAGTCCACGAATTGGGCCTGGGGACTCCTGCCACAGACCTGTTAGAGAGGCTGGTAAAACCTACACACCTCTTTTCAGAAATGTATTTAAATACATAAAAATGTATAGACACAAATTGTATTACAAAGTTAACAAGCGTTTCTTTGTGTCCATTAATTATTTTGTTGCATACATACATTGCTGAATAAAAAGCAAATGTGTCCCTTTAAGAACAGGGGTGTCCAACCTTGGCAACTTTAAGACTTGTGGACTTCAACTCCCAGAATT